TAAAAATATTAAAGTTGTAAAAATTCGTTTTTTACAACTTTAGCCTCACCGGTGGGGATGCTCAAAGTCCTGGAAAAAAATGCGAAGGATACAATTTTAGGAGATGCAAATACTCAACCATCATATGCGGTTTAAGCGGAGGCTAGCTCATTCGCCAGGTATCACGTTTTAACTTGTATAGAGTGTGAGAAAAGCACCGTATGAGACAGCACTAGGCTGAAAATAGCAACGGAAACACTCAATCGGAATTCGTCGCTGAGGTGTTGATAGATGTTGATAGTGAGGCAATGCGAAAAGGGTTAGAACCCGTATCGGCACAGCCCGATTAGCTAACGATGGATAGAGACGAAGCGAGTAGGACGAATAGGAGCGAGAAGACGTATTGAAGCGGGGGTAGTTTGCGGGAAAAGACAACGCAAACAGGTGCTGAATCTACTGTTCTATTCGACTTTCTCTCCTCTTCGTCACAACAAGAGTACCGGAAGTAGACCCTACACGTCACCCAGAATCCGTACGGGATGTCCGAGAAAATTCAAACCCTAGGCGCTGCCAGGAGGTAAAATGGATCCAATGCGGACAGAAATATTCCTTGAAGCGTAGAAAGTGACCTTAGGATCCCTCCAGGACGGACAGAGAAAAAAAAGGGAACGGAAGCGGGGCTCGCAATGGGACATTGTTCATACCAAAAAGAATAACCCCTTCGATAGCAACTGCAATCTTTACAGACCTCAGATATTGGATTCATAATATCCTATTGAATGTGAACCGGAATCAGTATCAGATCGTGAGTGTCTACACTAGGCGCAAATGGTACTGAAGAGGAGGTCGACGGAACTCTACAGAGATATTTTCAATTAATCTTGTCTGGGTACGTATTTGCCCGATATGAAAGTTAAGATACTTTTTTCACAGCAATTGAGTTCTGCGTGGCAGCAGGCCAAATTCTTGCGAGGGCTGTGCTTGGTGCGCAGTCAATTCTTTGCCAAACTGCAAGATTTAGTCCTTTTGGGAGAGTCTGAGAAGGACACAAGATCGTGTGAGTAGTGCGAAGGCTTTTCCCAAGTGTACAGAATATGGTTATGAGCTGGCTTTCTCACCAGCATGCTAACTAAACGCGACTCTTAGGATTTTCAAGTGCGAGAAACTTCCCAAATTAAAGCTTTGAACGAAAGGAAGCCACGAATGCAATCCCGAAATCAGGCCTACGAGACACAATAAAATCAAAGGCTAAGCTGAGCCTGTCTGCAAGAAAGTGTTTCGTTCCTCCTCACCTCGAAAATGTCTTTTTAGTGGCAGTAGTGTCATGTTTTTAGACGAACTAGGTCTTAGGTCTTCGTTTCTACTTCTTTGACGGTTTGTTGGTTCTTTTTCCACAACAACGCCCATGATGTTAACCTGAGCTTACGGTATTGCATTTGAAAAGACACAGAGGGTTTACCCGTAGAAACGGCTCGGTCGGTTATATGAGGGCCTCCACCAAGCACACGAAATCAAACTCTGAAATGTGCAATTATTAGAAGGGTTGCTGCATGTCTATACTCAAAACCAAGTCAACGATAGACGCTATGTATCGAGAATGGCTTTGGCTTGAACGAATTTTCTTTTCTAAATGTTGCGATTGGTTGTATTTTAGGTACCGGCAGCGAAGAACCGTTTAAGGCAGGCTCACGGCATCATTTGCAAGACAGGGAGAGGTTCATCTGACTCGAGCACATATCATATCAATTGCATGTGGAGACCGGTGGCTCCAGCAATCATGTCTACCTCGTGATACCGTCTTAATGAAGACAGGTTGAATGAGGTAGTTAAGCAAGGCAAAAACAAAACAAGGAAGCAAGCAGTAAACTTTCACGAGATGTTGTGCTTTTGGTTGATATATTTCGCAACAGGTACATTGTTGCGGTAATGAAGGCAAGCCCTGAACACTGCACAGTACGAATGGTATCGTAGATTTCATGAAACACAGTACAGCATTGTTTTTTCCTAGTGGCTGAACTCATCAAAGGTCTCTTCAGGGAGTAGACTGCAATGCAATGCATTGTCGGCCCGGGTCTTGATAGTGTACTGCATGGATGGCCATCGCCACTGGAAAACCTCTTAGACAGAGCGTTTACGGTAGATGGTGATCTTCAACTAGTGCTAAGCTGCTTCAGAATCAATTGCAAATGAGAGATCACGCGATATATATGTTCCATCAGAGATTTTCCTCTTCCACGGCTCTATACAGTACAATACAAGTGTCAGTTTCGTTTCTAGGCATTTATCTGTTTCGTTGCATGAGCTGACCGTTAATGCCTGGTTTAGGGAGTGCGGTGAGCTCGTGTGCTCTAAGTGAGGTGATCACTCAGGGGCCCACGGGTCGGGGACATCATGTCTGTGCATTTCTTTTCTTGTACAAAGTGATGTTGGCATGAAGTTCAGGCTGGTTGGTCTGGAGACCAACCAGCCTGAACTTCATGTGGAGGGGATTAAAGTCGTGACTCCGAGCTGAGCGAGTTGCTGTGTGTGGTTTAGAGTGCTATTTTCAGTATGGCGCACGGCGCGAAGCATTCCACTGAAGTTGCGACGGGGTAGGAAAAAGTAGAAACAGTACCAGAGATATCTTGGTCTCGTGTCTGAGGCGATGGTGGGCGGTGGTCTCGAGCCGAAGGTGCAGACACTCGGGGCCCTCCAGCCCAGGACGGGGGCCGTGATAGCCGCTCGGCCTCGCCTATAATCGGTTTCATTGCACACAAGGCGAATAAGGCCGTAGCACAGTACTGTACCAGAAACATTGGTCCTGTATCACAAGTGGAAGTCGCGGGACGCCGCGCTGGCAACGCGGCGGGTGTGGGAGTGCACGGGCGAGCCTCTCGCGCGGCGCCAAGTGGCGCGACTCACGGGGGGCGGCATGCAGCGGGCGAATGCGGCCCCCGGCCTCTCCCCCGCCCCGCCCCCGCCCCCCCCCCGCAAGCGTGGAAATTTGCACCCGAAGTGCATCCGGTACATAACGGGCTTGCGTGTCGCGCTACGGCCTCTAGTGCCTAGACGACAAGTGATCTCAAATGAGGCTACTTTTCAAGTTTATATTTATGTCGAATTGTGGTTGCTCAACAAGAAGGAAAATGATGCTCTCGCCACTGCAATCGGCTTGGGCGTTGCGGAAGGATGGAGTTTGGTGGGATGCGCACGTGTTTGCAGCCATTTTTAGAATGCGTATAAAAGAAATCGTCAAAACCAAAAGGCCTGCTTAAGTGCCAACCGGGCATTGCAACTTGATTGGGTTCGTAGTCTTTCTGCGTATTCACAACTGGTATCCCAATGTTTTGAAAGATGTTATTGCCGAGGGCGTGTACTTTGAAGAAAGGGTGTCCAAAGTTTGGACTCCAAACTGGCTTTATACAGATATATATACTGTACCTTCATATATATAAAAGCGGGCCTCATTAGAGGCCATGGGTGAGCGCATATGAGGCAAATCGCTTGTCGCGGCGAGGTAGAACGCTAGCAGTGTACCCTTCCCCAAAGGGGTAATTAGGAGAAAAAGGGTAATTTGGAGAGCGTTGATTTTTTCGAAAAATATCGAGACAAATGGGTTGCGCGCAGGGCGTGGATTCGGCGACTTTTTTTTCTTTTTTTTTTTTTCTTTTTTTCTTTTGGATTTTTCCTTCCACTCTCGCGAAGCGTGGGGTGGCGAGGCGTAATGCCTTGAAGAAGAGGCATGGATGCCTCTCCCTCAAGAGGTTGCGTCGCAAGCGGTACCTTTTTAAGCCCCAGCGCGGTAGACATCGGACGGAGGCTGAAACCATCCCCTGTAACGCTCCCCATAGCGCCCCCTGCAGCGCATCCTCTCCCCCCGGACCTCTGCGCGCGCAACGACGCTGACATGGCGGAGGAGCTGCACACGGTGCAGGGTGCGGTAGACGGTCTTCTCGCGCTGCTGCCGCCTGTGCGCAAGGCGGTGCGTCTATGCGCGGTGCTCGTAGCGGAGAACCCGTTCGGGCTCGGCAAGTCGACTCTGCGCGCCCTCTCCAGCGCGAACGCGCTCCCGGCCGTCGAGCAGCGCGTGTCCGCCATGGTGTGCACGCTGCA